GAGAGAGAGAGAGAGAGAGAGAGAGAGAGAGAGAGAGAGAGAGAGAGAGAGAGAGAGAGAGAGGGAGAGAGAGAGAGAGAGGCATGAGGCAGTGAGGCAAAAGGCAGGGAGACAAAAGGGAACCAAATGACAAGGCAAGCAGCATGTAGAGACAAGGCAAGTAGATGGGCTGCCAGGCGGCAGACTGTGGAACGTTGGTTCAAACCACAATTGGAGTCAGGAAGCCACTTCGACAAGCGTCTGTCGTCACCCCAGGAACACGCAGACACAGACATCCCGAACAGAGCAGCGTCCCTAATACTTTTGCAGGCTGTCCAAACAACTGGCTTTGGCTATTTGGCGCGTTGTAGAGGTGCTCGCTTAGACACAAGGGAAGATAGAATAAAAAAGCAGGAGAGAAACGATACATACATGTGTGTTTGTGTGTTCGTCATACACATCCCCACAAAAAAAGCATGACTGTGACAGATTGTTCCATTGGACTTTCACGAACTCGTCAGGAGGTTCCCAGGATGCATTTGACTGATGAATAAGGACTCGCCACTCCGGTCAGAGTTCGCGACGCCCCTGAGAAAAGTGGTCAACTTGATTCACACCAACCCTTGCAATCCTAGCAGACTGTCAGTCCACACCACTTACAAGAATGGCAGTGCGTCTGAGAGACTGGCCTGACACAGCCATGAAACCCACTCCACGCACGGATACCCAATGGCATGACCGCTAGTACGGTTCCGATGCTGGCCACATTGTGTGTGTGTGTGTGTGTGTGTGTGTGTGTGTGCGTGTGTCTTTATGTGTGTGTGTGTGTGTGTGTGTGTGTGTGTGTGTGTGTGTGTGTGGGTGTGTGTGTGTGGGTGTTTGGGTGTGCATGCGGGTGTGTGCGAGCACGTGCGATGCTTCTCTGCCTGTTTGCAAATGCAGGTCGGTGTGGGTGTTTGGGTGTGCATGCGGCTGTGTGCGAGCGCGTGCGATGCTTCTCTGCCTGTTCGCAAATGCAGGTCGGTGTGGGTGTT